CTGTTGGCAAAGTGTTCAGGAAAAGGCAGAATTGTATGAGGTAAACAACACTCTGTAACATGGTTCGAACATCAGTTGTCGGGTGTTCTAAAGCTAGCAACACCGTTTAACGACACAGCCAATACTTTGTCGCTGCTGAATTGGGTAGCCCTGTGGACCTATAGACCTATATTCACTCGATATGATCGCCTACAGTGGTGGCGAGCTTCTCCAATCAACCACTAGTCGAACACCATGCCTTGTTTAGGATTTACATGAGGACATCGTCGACAACAAGATTGACCTTTTGACAAGAACGACTGGTATAAATGGCTAACCTTTTTTAACTATATTGCTCTGATACAGATGCTTCAGGGGTCGATTGTGTTCAATGGAAACGTCAAAGAGAGTTGATAAGTTGAAGAAGAAGAGCCTGGGGGCGAAATGTCTGTAAATACATTCCACATTCACAATGGTATAAAGCCCGGTCAGGCGACGGGGACGAGAATTGTCGGTAATAACGTACACTGTAAACACACTACATCACATGTCGGGGACAGTAATGTGCTAATATATATACCTCAAGGGCAAGAACCACGGGTACCGACCAACCAGGTTATTAAAATGATAATATTTGCCGTTATTGTCAGTAACTGAATAATTAACTTCCAATTTTATGATTTCAGAAATAAACGGTTAATATAAAATTACTTTAACTAGCTTTGTGGTAAACATACAACAACATCTACACGAACATGTTTTTGCTTGTTTAGAACATTTAAATCTCATATCGTGCCTTTATCAAACAACGTTGATGGCTTCAAAACGCGAAGACAGATATGGCGGCACAAAAACGTAGATGTGCTTTTAATCACCCTTGATGATATCGAATATCTACGAAGGGGTTTAATACGTCATATAAGAGTTGAGCGATATACGTCTAGCCGCGATAGTACCCTATGTCTCGTTTACGTACGGACGTAACAAACAGCCGGGTTATCGTGTAGTAGTAGTTGTAGTAAGAAACCTAGGCCATATAACACTGCGTCGCTATTCAACTCAATCGCATGTTTTTGAGATTCTATAAAGAATCATACGGAGTTATCAGTGATGTTACCGAGTCTGAGGAAGGCACGGGAGATCCCGAGAATACTGATATTAAACTATAGGTAAGGAGTTAATGTGTGTTTATATCGGTGTTTGGCATTCTAAAACCGTGTCTGATAATCTGCATTAGCATTGTGCGCCGATACAAAATGTAATCCTGTGATTTAGCGTTAACCGTTATGTCAGGTATCATAGTTAGGATCAATGAAACAGAACATACCCGAATCATTCAGCAGTTCTGTTCACGCCCTTGAATCGTGTATATTTGCAGCATCTGTTTTACGCCTTGCGTCTTTTCAACACTCCTGTTGCAGCTCTGGCACTGCGTCTTTGCGACATCTGTTTCGTACATGCCAATGCGTCTTTGCGACATCTGTTTCGTACATGCCAATACGTCTTTGCGACATCTGTTTCATGACTGGCAATGCGCCTTTGCGACATCTGTTTTACGCCTGGCACTGCGTCTTTGAAACATCTGTCTCAAGCTCTCGTTCTGTGTCTTTTTAACAGTTCTGTTTCACGCCCTGGTAATGCGTATGATGGACAGTTTTCATGCCCTAATATTAGATCTATCTAAAACTTTTGTATTACGCCTTTACGTTAAGCCTATTGGACAACTGTGTACCTCGCTCTCGTATTGCTTCGGTGGAACAGCTCTTTCAGCACGCATTCTAATGGTGTCTATCCTGCATTTTTTTTCACATCTCAGTATTGCTTCTGTTTAATGAAATGTTTTGTTCGAATCAGCGTTTCTGTTTGACGCTCTCCCAGTGCGTCTTTTCAAAAAGTCTGTTTCACCCCCTGATTTTGTGTATCTCCAACAGCTATGGTTTGTTCCCTTATATCGCGTCTTGAAGACCTTTTCGTATTGTTTCTTTGTGCCCGATGCACTTCCGAAACTCTGACAAAAATACAAATATCTTTGTAGAATAATTTCTCTTTTTATGTGTGACTTTGGATCTTCAAACTTGAGGTTGACATTCAAACTTGATATTGATACATGAAAGGGGACGATTGCCCTTCCTGACCACTTGGGATAGTAATTATATCTTATGCTGAATTCAGTGAAATTGTACCACTTTGTTTAATAGCTACATTTAGCGCTGCCTGTCAGGCAAGGTGAGACAGGCAATACTAGCTTTGTCCAGGCTCCATACAGTTGAACGGTAAGGAATGCTCGAAAACAAAAAAGTGTCTTCTATCGAGATACATGTTTATCTTTTATATTTTGAATCTGACTGTACTCACGCGTTTTTCTCTGAAAAGATTCTAGAAGATGTGTTTTGCGAATAGGCAGCTTGTGTACTCTTATAATGTCTCGACAAAGTTTTATAGATAACAATTCTTTGAATCCACTCTTCTTGAGCTATCTTATGTAAAATGACGTCATATAAAATGTATTTGGTTGTGCATGCTATTTTTCATTTCTGGTCGACTGGTCGAAGTGATTTTCTCGCTATGCTGTCTGTCTACTCTTCAGAGAACACACGCCGACTGCGAAACGCATGCATCATCAAACGAGTGTGATTTGTTGGGTGTTCAGTCAATGGAGCTGCTGTTGAAACGTAAGAGGATAAATGACCGCAATTTTTTTATATATTCTGGTGTTTTATGCCATTTTGATTAATTATATTCTGGTTTATTTATGCCATGCCCTTTCACCAACTGCCAATAAATTCATCTGTACTCTAGTGGGCTGCTGAATTGGGGTCGCCAACTGATAGCGCCACATCTTAACAAACAGCTCTGATGGCGACCCCGCAATTCTAACAAAAATAGTCGCTTACTAGTGAAAACAGATTCTGATCTGGAGCGCCAAATAATCGAAAAGTCTGTCTGGATACTTTGGTATGCGAATACTGTTTTGTGTGAAAGCAAATAGTAGAAATGATACCCCAAACTCTGCCAAATGTGAGGACCAACCGATAACTAAACCAGTAACAGGAGACGGCTAATGTACAAACACTGTCGCCATTCAACAATATTTTAAGCTGCTTGTTGAAAGGGCACGGACGAAATTATGCCACGCCCACTAGGTGTGCTCGGCTATTAGGCGACGATCTTACAACTTTGTAGACATTGGTATATTTAAAGGCATAATCCGGGGGGGGGGGGGGGGGGGGGGGGGTGCATCTATTTAACTATATCGAAATGATAATCTATAAATGATTATACGGAAAATGCGCGTGCTTTATTGGCACTAAAAATAGTTATGTGTGTTTGAAAGGTCGAATCGTGTTTCTGAATTCAAGTTATACTCTGTAAATGTCTCGGTATAATTCAAAGAATGATGATCTACCGATTTACTTGTATATGGAACTACAAAGAACAGGTGGTTTTGTTAAAAGGTCAGAAATTGCCGTTTTCATTATTGCAGGAAGAATTTAAAACATATCCCCGATTTTTTTTATTAGAAAAAAATAGATTAGCAGTTAAATAGACACCGCTCCTTAATGTCAAAGTCGTCATGAGTACTTCCTAACTCCCAGGTCATACCGCTTATAGTTCGTATAGCTTCTATTTCAATGTAAAAACACAAAGGAGTCTTTGTTCTGTAATAGATAAGAAATAGATTAAACGAACTGAAAATGTTTTGATTAAAACTCTTTTCATTCTCTATCTGGTAGATGTTCCCGTAAATAAGCAGTTATGACGCCCATTTATTTACCCATTAAACTGAAACAGCCGTAGTAGTGAGTGTTATAGGGCCACTCAAATGTTCGAGTCTAACGAACACTGATTTAATACTAAAAGCATTACAAACACATGAAACACATCACATCATATTGTTAAAGTGTTCAAAAGATACCTACATTCTGTATCCAACTCGCCTTGCTTTGTTTCAAAGCATTGCTATTTGAATCATACATTTAAGCTCCATTAGATCGTGAACGTGTCTTTTTGTAGAGATCCGTACTGTGGGTGAAAGGGTTGTGTTTTCGGATGAACTTGTTTGTACATAGTGCGGGGAGCATAACCTTACAGAACTGGTGAGAAACTAGTCGCTCACAGTAGCAGGACTTATTGAATTAGTGGAGCTCTTCGGTAATGTTAACGATATGTTTATGTGTAAAAAGTTTATGTTTGTAGCTAGAGGTCAGAATTATCCAGCACTTTTCGACAGAGAACACGGGAGAAACCTAGAGTCTTTTACCTCGATCTGTTCCAAGGTACATGTAAACTTTACAAGATTATTAACAAATCCAACTCGGTAAACTAAGTGTGCCCAGACCCGTGGCTTCAAAATAAAGTTCAAGACGGCGAGAACAAATTATATCAGCTAATAACAGTGGTCTATAACTAAATACTGTATCCGGCAGATCATAACTTCACTCTACAACTAATAGTGAACTAGTGAAGTACAATAGTGTACCATATAGTCACAACCCAATGAACAATGTGCTCATTTGGTCTATTTTGTATTTTGTATTTTGATAAATTAAAATATGACGATAAAGGGAAAATGTACAGTGATAATTATACGAGATGCTGTGATTATACATCACTCCAGGTAGGGGCATGTCGAATGAGGAGATGGTTTGTCGGTTGTCACAAAGGCAGTGCATAGCTATGTGACTATAGGTATCAAATTGTCTCCCTTTGGTGTACTCTTCTGTCTTTGTATTAAACGCCCACCGGGATGCTTATATCTCATTGCATTCATCGACGTTTCCGCGGCTTTGCCAGGTGATTGTGTTTTTATCTGTACTTCTGTATACATCACATATCGGTTTGCTTTTTAATTACTTGTTTTGTATTGAGCTTTATTTACGAACGCTAGGTATGTTGTGGTATCGAGCGACTGTTAATTACAAAGACAGAGGTCCACGCTCAGCGCGTTGTATCGTGTGTCAGGTGGTCAATACATTACCTGGCCATCCGTCGCCAAGTTATTACCAAAGTGCTGTCTTAACATGTCAAACATCGAGACATTCCGCATGCCCCAATCACACTGTCTGCCCCCTCCACAGCATCCATCACTCCCTCGCCCGTCCATTGCAGCTGCTGGCCGACAGTTTATGTGTGTTCACAACATAAAGACTGCCCTGGCATTTCAGGTACATGTGGTTAGGTGATACTTTCCCGATTCTGGAACTGGACCTGAGAAAACTATCATTCAGTGACCACATGTGAGTCGTATGCACAACATGGCCAATACTGTTATGATTCGAGCACTGGTATCTATATCTTGTAGGTCAACACAATCTTTCGTTTACGAAGTGTACCCCGGTCTTCATGCTATCTATAGGCCTATATAATTTACCTTTCAAAACAGTTAGATAAAAAGAAATATCGTTAATTTGTCACACTTTCATCTAATAAGAATTACTCCTTCCTTGAGCTAGAGTCCAGGAGGCATCTAAGAACAATGTTCTACTTTTCTCTTTCTCAAGAAACCAGTAGATATACCATGCTTGCATTATGCATTTTCTGCTTGATTCCCATACTATTAACAGCACTCTGTTCCAAACACGTCGCAAATTAACAGTAAAACAACAGATGAGTTGAATAAATGGGTTCCTTGTATTTATAATGTCGACACCGGTATGACTCACTTCACATTTCGGCAACGTATGACCGTTACCGATATTTTAAAGCCCGCAAAAGCTCGGGAGAGAGTAAGAGGTTAATATTTAACAGCAAACACTCTCAACAGAAACATTACACAGTTTAATTATTTTTTTAAATTTTCAAGGTTTCGTGAAATGACATGATGGTTGTAATTGTAGTTTATGGCTTTGTCACAAAATATGTAATTTGCGTAATTAAAGTATATTTCCTGGAAGGCAGATAAACAGCAGAGCATCTTACTAAATGCACTGCTGATATGTGTGCACACTATAATTATCGTTAACACAAACAAACAGCTATTACCGTCTGTCGAGGTGTGTTTTGGAAATCGTCAACCTATATATATTGTTTACAGGTAGTTTGGATGAAGCTCTTGTCACTTCCGGTTCTTACTGACCTACGTGTGAATTCGAAATCGTTCATCAGAACCAAGTGATGTATACTACATGTTCCGAGTATTTCTCGAGTACAGTATGTAGATGTGGAATACCACTAAAGGCCAAATGTAATGGAAATCAGCTTATTCTGGCTAACGATCTCGTTATTTCTGCTCGGTTAATTGTGCGACCAAGTGATCCCATCATTACAAACTATACTCCCTTGATTTAGGCGGTCATAATATATGTAGTTCGTGTGTAGTTGTTTACTGGGAGCTTGGTCTGAGCATACTATGACTGGAGTGCGGCGATCACTGGACCTACGAATATTGCTTTGAAACCAAAAGACTACTGTTCCTGTTCCTCCTGCATGCAATACCACTTTGCAACATTGGTAAACCTCCCCCTTCCCCCTATCAACCAGGTACATTTAGAACATCTTTCAGCCACTTCTCACTGAAAAGCAATGAATCTTCATCCTTTCGCGAGTGTAGGAATGTTTGTAAATCTGGAGGGTTGCGTCCGACCTTTTCTACCAATCTGTTTCGGTATTCCTGTCTTCAGATCACTTTCACTCCCGTAAAGAATGTTTTGAAAACACGAGTATGACTGATGATGTTAGTCGTGAGTGATACCTAAGTGTTTACAACTGGTCTTGATTCAGTAACCGGTCGTACGTGCCTCGGCGCTACCTCATTCCTCCCCCTCCCGCCTC